ATGTCTGTGAACGCTCAATCTCAGCTCTCGCTGGACCGATTTCTTTCAACAATACGTCAAAATATCAAAAATCGTATCTAGTTGAAGACATTACCCTTAAAAATTGAAAAAAATTCCCTCGTTCCCCGCAAATGGGGGAAATATCCAAACAAATTACAAATTTAAAAATCGCTAATTTTCGAAATTTTTTCACATTTTTTTCTTAAAACTTCCATAACTTTTTCAAAAATCAACAAATCAGCATAGTTTTTTTTTTTTACTAAAACCTTAGATATTTACCTTTTATTTGATATCATTTTTTTGAAAATTTATCACTTAACCTGCTCATTGGGGGGATTTAAAATGGAAACTTTTTTACAAAAATTAACTTTTTCAACTTAATTTTTGAAAATGTTCCGGAAATACTGCGTCCTTCAAACATATATCAAAGTAAAGCTTATTTTATGTGCTATAAAATGGAAAAAAAAATTTGTCCCGACACCTTATCTTCTAAGTGCAAATGGCTGTCGAAATTAAATAAAAATGTAATGTTTGCGATAAAAATCACCATCTATCGGAATGTTTTTTGGTACTTAAAACTCCCATAACTTTTTCAAATATTAACAAATCAAAATAATATTTTTTTATATTGAAACCTTAGATATTTCCCTTTCGTTTGATATCATTTTTTTTGAAAATCTAACACTTATTCTATTCACAAGGATGATTTAAAATAGCAACTTTTTACAAAAACTAACTTTTTCAACTTAGTTTTTGAAAATGTTCCGGAAATACTGCGTCCTTTAAACATATGTCAAATTAAAGCTTATGTCATGTACTATAAAATTAAAAAAAAAAATTTGTCCCGACGACCTATTTTCTATGCGTAAATGGCTACCGTATTCAAAAATATGCTATTTTTGTGTTAAAATCCTGGGTTTTGTATTTTATTTTATTTTAAAATATCTTATTAGGAGAATATATTGATTTTCATGAATATTATATCAATTAATTGACATAGAAAAAAGTTCATAAGACATAAGAAATTAAACTTATTAAATTTTTTTTACTTTTATAAAGTCGAAAAAGTAATTTTTAAATTTGAGTTAGCATAATTAGCCAATTTTTTTTTTTTGAGTTAGAATAGAATTTTCAAATCATTTGATATTTATCTCATTTAGATTCAATAACATCAATAAATATAAAGGATTTTATCACTATCGTCTCCCCTCGTGAGAAGAAATTTATATTCATATTAATATTATTTTACTATGTGGTTATTTTTGTGGCTACGATTTATTTTGCCAACCCTCACTGGACCTACTTTTTTCAACGATACGTCAAATGATTACAATTCGTATTTAGTTCAAGTTATTACTCTTAAAAATCGAAAAAATATTCTTTATTCAAATAAAAAGTAGATTAACCAGCTTTTTCCATACAGACAATTAAAATCATTAATTTCTAATGTTTTCAAAATATTTATTAACGAATGAAGTTTGATATGATAGGTTTCAACTACAAAATTAAATCATTTTACTTTGTAATTTAATAAATTTTTTACTGTATTTGTGTGTGCTACTACTAGACTATAATATTACAAATATTTTAAAATATTTTTAATAAAAAATTTTTTCTTAATTCTTTTTAAGCTAGAATAAATTTTCAACTCCTTTGATTTTTTTCTCATTTAAATTCAATAACTTCAATAAAGATTAAGTATCCAATCACTGTAGTCGCCCCTTGCAAGAAGAAATTTCTTATTCGTATTAAAATTATTTTACCATATTTTAGATTTTAGCTTCGATGCAAAACTGAGAAGGTATTTTTTTGTGACTATCATTTATTTTCTCTGCTTTAACTTGTTCTACTTTTTTCAAAGATACGTCAAACGATTATAATTAGTTGAAGATTTACCATCAAAAATTGAAAAAAAAATTCTTATCTATCAATTAAACAGTTACTTGTCCCATTTTCTCCATACAGATAATTAAAATCATTTATTTCTAATGTTTTGAAAGTACAATTGTTGAAACAAGTTTGATATGATAAGTAATGTGTAATGTAATGTGTACAACAATACTAACATATTTAAAATATTATTTTTGAAAACTTGTGACTCGATGTGTCTTCTTGAAATTTTCCAACCTTTAATTCCTGCTAGTTCCTCGAAACTAACAATAATATATTTACTAAATATATTATTTTGTTATAAAAAAGTTGATTTTCAAAATTTTAATTAGAATCTTTATATGTTAAAATAGGCATTTTATGAGGATTTGAGATTTTTAAAAATTTTTTTTGCTCAATGTGTTTTTAGTATTTTGATCAAATATCCTCCAAAATACAAAAGAGGCCTCTGTTATTAGATTTTCGATCAAATATTATAATGAGTACATCAAAATAGTTTGATTTTTACTATACAACATACAATTTTATTAGTTTCAAATTTTTAAGTCAAAAATTGATTCTTTGGATTAATGTCTTATTTCTATTAAATCTCAAGTAAGCTTAAAATTTTTAAAAGTTTTTTCTTATGCATTTTGGTTGATATTTATGTATATTATAAGTAGAAAAAAAAAATTATACACTTAACTTAAAAACTTATACCTTTTTTAAAAATAGTAAAGTGTAAGCTAAAATATATGATAATATTGACAATATTTACAAATGTTGGTTGATAATTAAATACTTTACAATTATTTCTTTTATTAAACAATTAATTTATACAAATATAATAAATAAAGAGAATACAACTTTATGTTATGATGAAATTATACAATAACCTAACCAAACCTAACCATGATGTACGACATACTAAAAACACGTTAAGCGACCAGTTAAAATTTTTTTTACAAATCTCAAATCATCACATAGTGCCTATATTAATGTATAAAATAAAGTTATAATGGTTTTCATAAAAATTTCGAAAATTGACTATTTTTATAATTATATTTTAAAGAATATTTACTGTATAATTATGGTAAATATATAAAAATCTAACGCGTTATGAAATATAAAGCCACGATTACTACTTTTTTTGTAAGTTTTCCTTTAAAAGATATTTTTTTGAGACTGTCACTACCTTTTCTCAGCTCTCAGTGAACCGAATTTTCTCAAAGATACGTTAAAAGATCATAATTTGTATCTAGTTGAAGGCATTACTCACAAATTTGAAAATTTAGCCCTCATTATTCATAAATGGAGAAAGTCCCCCAAAAAATGACGATATTTAAAATCACTAAATTTAGATATTTTTTTCACTTTTTTTCTAAAATTTGCTATAACTTATTTAAAAATGAATGAATCAAACTAATTTTTTTATTTATTTTTGAATCCTAGGTATTACCCTTTAAAATGTTATAATGTTTTCGAAATTCTGACTGTTTACCTATGTTCATGGATTCAAAATAGCAATTTTTTTACAAAAATCAACTTATTAAAATTAACTTTTGAAAATTTGAAATATAGATTTTCTTCTTGGTGAAAATGACTACCGTATTCAAAAGTATGCTATATTTGTGTTAAAATTCTGGGTTTTGTATTTTATTTAATTTAAAATATCTGGCAAGGAAAGTACACTGATTTTCATAAATATTATATAAATCAAATTAATACAGCATAGAAAGTTAAACTTATTCAAATTTGATTATTTTAAGTCGAGAAAAAAAGCTTTGAAATTTGAACTAGCTTAAATTGTTTTTTTTTCTGTCAATGGAAGCGATGTATGATTGTCGAGTCGGTAACACTTGTATTACGGTATTACGCTCTTGGGGTACATGGTTCTAACCCGTGTATGACAATTAATTTTTTGC